TTCGCCACTCTAGTTGGGTATACCAGCTGTACATCTCGCGGTCCGCTACGACAGGATAGGTTCCCGCGGGGCACAACTTGCCTTCCCTAAGGGGCTGTCACCACCCTTAGGGGCGTATCCCTACCAAGCTACTGACCCACGTGCGAAAACTTTTAAATGCAATTGCACAGGTCCGTCAGTCGGGTCCGTTTGCTCGCTCACTGTAGTATAGGTACGCATAGTTAAAACACTTATTTGAACTTGGACATTGTTCATCAATTAGGGCGCTGATCGTCTATGAACGAAGCGTACGCCGATCGACTAGGACAGTCCCAACTAAGCGTGAAACCTATAGTATCCTAGTCCATTTTAACACTAGTAAAAAAAAAAGTTATTTCAACCTCACATAAATACATCGATCGTAGTCGATAAAAATGTATATCCAATATAAAATGATAATTGAAGGAAGAAAGTTGACTTCAACAACAACCTCAATGTGGCCGACGAGGCAGTCGGACAACCTTAGTTTAACTTGATGAGATGCGCTGCCAACGTTATTAATTTCAACCTACCGTTGACCTAAGATTAGGCATGCACACACCCGTCTTCATACGCTTCTAATCTTTTTTGGATAACAGACTGCTTTACAGATGATTCTTGATCAGGTGCATTGCTTAAAGTGTTGCATGCCTCTCTCTCTGGGAAGTGGTCTGGACTACACATTCTCCTCGTCCAAGCACAAGACTCAGATCTCATAAGTCGGGCCGTCTTCACCGAATCGACAAATACCCCCCATAGAACGGTTCACTCTGGGTCGATAACAGGGTCGGCTCCTAAAGGAACGAACCCCCACCCCAGATGCTTTCTTGAAAGAGAGGGAACGTCCACCGCAAATAATTTTTCAGTTGGTCCCACCCCCCCTTGTCGAAGGTAACTCAGACGAAAAAAGTTAGAAAAGATAGAGAATGAAAACCACTTGGACAAGAAAAGGAAGATAAGGTCGTTCGGGATAGAAATGGTCAATCATTGGGAGAAGACTAAGTCAGTTTGACCTTATCTGTTTTATTTTAATTGAGTTTGTTTTACGGTGCGCATATAATTAACATTTTTCAAAACAACCAACCCTTTTTCGCATGAAGGCAGGTGAGAAGTAAAAAGAAGACAATCATTTTTAGTAGCCCTAAGTAGGCATGATCAATTCGCTCTGCAAGAATCCTTCTACCTACTTGCACACTCAAAATCAACCACAAGTCCATAAAATCCAGCAACCCATAATCCCGTTAGATCTCATTTTTCACATGCATGACCACACATGCTTTACTCAACCGTTTCTTTTGAACATTCGAAACAAACAGGGCCAAGCAAAGTGTGGGTTCATACAAGTGTGAAAAGGAATCCGAGTCGGTAAACTGACCTTGAGTGAAGTGCTGCCAAACGCGCCCTGACTCACTAAAAAAGTCAAGTAAACTATACTCGTCACCGAAGAAAAACCTGCAGCCCCAAGGTAAATCTCAAGCCAACCACTTGTCCCAATCTGTTTCCGACTTCCAAATCTCACACACGGTAGTCTCAGGTACAATCGTGGCAAGTCGCACGAGTCTAAAAAAAAATTGGTTCCAAAACAGTCCCAACTAGTTCCAGGCGGTCCCACGTTTATGCCAACTAGTCCCAAGTGGTCCACGTTAGTGCTAACTGGTCTCAATTGGTCCCAGGCGATCCCCCACTATTCCTTCCAGCACTTGATGATGACGCCCGCCAAAACCACTTTTACCAAGCCTCACAAAAAATAAAGCTCGCGAGTGTCGATTCCGCCGGCACCGCCCGTCCTACTCGCATGCCTTGTCGGTCCCGAAAGATCTCACTAGGTCAATGTCAATGACCTTGCAGCCGCCGGTCCGCACAAAAAAAAAACGGAGTGCCATTCCGCCTTGACAAGCGTGGTCCAACCGACAAAGTATCGCCGACACCTCTAGTGTCGCCTGTTGTACAACCGCAATAGTCATGCAACAATTTCCCCCTCCACTGACGTGACGGCGAGCACCTCGTCGCTCCAAAAATATCCAGCACTTTCCCTCCACTCAGTGCCTTCTTGACAAACCTCAATTTCGGCAGCATAACGCTGCAAAAATGGTTGTCGTTGACGCTGACAAATTTTGGCAGCATCGCCCCACATAAATGGAAAAACAACCTGCTGAGGTTCTATCTGTCGGTACCACCACCAATGACGTCCAAACGTCCCGCTACTTTCACTTAAAACGACCGTCAAATTAATAAAATTTGGGCCCTAAACAAAATCAAGGCCCAAAATAGCCTCTTGTCATGCCGCCTTAGTCTCGTAGCGTCTCGAGTGCCGCTCCACTGGACCAGCACCAGCTAGAGGGAAGTGGAGCAGAGTGCTCCCTACCCCGGCTATGGCTGCCTTGCTTTTCCTCTCGTGCTCCACTGCAGACCTCCAACCTCCTCCCACGTTGCCTCTAGCAGCTCCTCCAGCAGCCCTGCAACACTCAAGTGTGCTTGTTGCACATTGGCAGCACGAGTGTTTTTTGTGTGGCAGTTGGGGACAACTGCCTGTTTTAGAGTGGCTGAGGAGGGCAGGACGTCACTCCAGCCCCCAGGCAAAATCTTGGGCTCATAGTGAGCCCTGGATCTGCCCAAGATCAAAGGCTAATTGTGGCCGCACGACAGCCACAGCCTTAGTGGAGGAAGTTTCTTTCAGCTATCTTGGATTTTCACGAAATAGTTGAACTTTTTCCATTTCCAAAACTGTTTTCTTT